GATGGACAGTGACTGCAATGGGGCATGGGGAGAGTTCAACATCAACAGAATAGAGCCCAGAAATGAACACACACATATATGGCCAACTAACTTTCAACAAGGACACCAAGCCCATTCAATGGGGAAAAAATAGTCTTTTCAATAAATAGTGCTGGGACAAGGAAAAGATTACTGAACTCATTTCTGCCAATGTACTATTTACATATTTTTCATGCTAATGAAACACCTCCAAAGGTCCTTGGTTAGTTATATTTTGGGAGTCTGAGCCATACCTTTGAGTGTTCTGAAAGGAAGTCTGGAAGGAGATAAACTTGTGCCAGTAGCTCTATGTAGTCATGACAACGAAAATAGTAAATATGAGAAAGAATATTTTCAAGAGTGAAATCCTCTAATGCTTTGTGGTGCTCTGAAAAAAGTAACAAAAAAATCTTAAATTAGTTTTACCTGTTTTGATAGACTAATGAATATAGGAAAACAGTACCTTTGAATAATACTTCAATTGAAAGATAAAATTGCATCAAAATTATTATAAACGATTATTTCATAATTCCTAACCTCTTATTTTCACCTACTACACCATTTCCTTACATAGTAGATTATCTAGAAACTGTACACATACACAAGTAGAGTTTTCATGCCTTCCTTTTCCCATTTCTTGTTATTGGCCTCCACTGAATAGATGTAACATAATGGAATTTCTCTTGCTTTTTTCACAGGCCTACAAATTAAGAGTTAAAAGGAAAACTGTTCAAAAGAAGCTTCTTTTCAATATTTTTCCCCTTTTACTAATTTTCCATTATACTAATGCTACAGTAAATTTGATACTTAAGTAGAAACAATTATATAAAATTCCTTCCTTAGACTGCATTTTTAAAAATAACCAGTTTGCATATATTTCAGATGGAAGCCAGTTATAAACTATTGCACTTTAAAATGTACTTGAGTTTTAACATTAAGAAAAAAACAATTATAGAAAGCAGTGCCTACCACAAATATACATTTAAAAATGTTCATTTTAACCAAAAAATAACAGCTTAATTACACACCAATCATTAAAAAATTTACATCCAAATGCTACACCTACAATATTTACAGTAAGATTTTGAGATACTATACAATACACATTGTGACATGGGTGATTTTAAGGACTTTCAGTAGATATACTGGTCATTAAAAAGTTGAAGGACACCTAGCACTCCCACGAAAATAAAACTATCCAGCTGACTGCAATGAAAGGGAATACAGACATCTTATGAGAAGTGTAATGTTTTTAAAAACTTCTAAAGAGGATAAGGACTACACATCCAAAAAATAAAATAAAACAAAGCAAAACAAAAAAGAACATTCAAACTAGAAACCATTTACTTTTATAAGTAATTGAAAGAAGAACTTGAATACTAATTACCTTAAACTTTTTTTAATTAAACATTTTATTTTCTACTTAACAAGTGCAAAAAAATTTCCCAAACACTTTAACAATACAATGAACATGGTCATACGGTCAATGACATACTCAGGGTCTCATAAGGTCAATCAGCTTAATGTTCCAAACATTTCCAGGCATGGTTTTTCCAAAGCTACTTCTGTTTTTTGGAAATGTTTTATAAATGCAAATATACTCCCTAAGGCAACAGACATGGCTGACCCACCCTGCCTCCAAATATATATTTGAATCAACTGATGCTGGGATTAGGAAGAAGGTGTGCCTATAAGGCCATGATTAAGGATTTCTTGGTGTTTTAGGCCTCTGTTAATGGAACCCTTTCTTATTATATGCAAATCTAATTTCAAACACTTGACTTTCAAATATATTCTCAGGAATTAATTATATAATAAAGTAGAAAACTGCCTGTATTTCCCATATGACCACATTACAATATTGGAAGAGAAACATTTGTTAATATCAAAATAACTGTATCAGTTTATCAGGATGGGGAACTGAAGTAACACAAAAGCTAAATTCATTTCACACACATACAGGATCAAGAGCACACAAAATGCCTTTTTTGGCTTCCTGACTATAGACCCACAGCACAATACTCTCTTACATAAAGTTTTATTAAGCCCACCCATCTGGGGAACATTTTATTTTACCATAGTTGTGTCTTTCCAACACCTGGTGCACCACAAATTTCTGTTGTTTTGGTTAAGGGTACTCCACCCCCAAGAATATTACCTAGTGCTGAACAGAAGGTAATTATGAAGCTCTGGGTATGCTCCTGCTCAAGAAGTTCCAGTGCTGTACACTTCTTGCCTGACTCAGCCAAACCAGCGTATCTTGGTTTCTTTGTGACACATTCTCTTCTTATTATTTGCAGAGTTTCTAAGGTTTCCTTTTTAGATATACCAACTTCTGAGAGTAAAATAAGAAAAAAGAAAAATAAACCCTGATTTTAGAGATTTAAGAAAGTCTAACATGCTATTGGGTTATCTTCATTAATTTTACTTTTGAGGTAACAAGACTGATGCCAAGAGCAGAGAAACATAAAAATGTAACATTCCATTACCTGTTTAATCTTTCAAGTCAATAAAGGCACTTATCTTTCTCTTAGTCTTTGATTATTTACAAGTTTTATTACCTCAGAAACAGAAGGCAGAAATGTAAACTTCTTACATTCCAGGGTACCTGTAAGAGTATCTCAGGAAAGAGAAATAAAAATTTAATAGCAGTCAGTCCTTTTACTATCCCTTTTGGTCTTATGAAGCCATAATTATTTTGCTTTCATAAGGTATACAAACCATTTTTCAGAAGAGAATGAAAATGGCCTCTACCTACCTAAAACAAGATGTAACTTTAAGAAGTGCATGTGCATGTACTATTCATTATACTTATCATGGAAACACCAGCAGGAAAAATTCATGTGTCATTCCAAACTATTTAACGAAGACAATTATTTGATGCACATTTTTTTCATGATCTGAAGGAACCCTGCTGGAGACCAGGCATTTAGGTTCCATTCATTTATTCAACAAACGCTTATTGAGCACCTGCTAGATACCAGGCAGGGTTCCAAATTCCAGAGCATGCAATGTAAACCAGACACATATGGGGCCTGCATCACAGAGCCATGTGACTGGACAAGCCTCCTGCCCTTCTTGGCCTTTAATTCCATACCTTTAAATTACACTGGCTGAACTACATTATCTCCAAGGATCTTCCCAGGTGAATCATTCTGTGCCTCTCCTTGATGGTTTTTTTTTTAAACTACGGTATCATTGATATACAATCTCATGAAGATTTCACATGAAAAACTTTGTGGTTTCAACCTCCCCCCACACCCTGCCACCTACCTATATTGTGAGTGCTAATTTTAATTCCCTTTGATCCCCTTCTCCCTCCCTACGCCTTCCCTTTTGTAACTGCTAGTCCCTTCTTGGAGTCTGTGAGTCTGCTGCTGTTTTGTTCCTTTGCTTTTGCCTTGCTGTTATACTCCACAAGTAAGTGAAATCATTTGGTACTTGTCTTTCTCCGCCTGGCTTATTTCACTGAATTAATGCACAAACATTTTAAACAACACACTTATGCCTCCTCAACTACACATTTAATTCCTACCTGACAATATGACCTGAGAAGAAAAAATGGCAGTACAAAACAAGCTGCTAATGAAAGAAATAATGGTGAGGATGGTATCATTTATGAGTTTGATATATCAGTACTTGATATGATCAGAATGTGAACTACAGATTTGGTGTTGACAAGACAATAATGGTAATAAGAAAATGAAAATCCTATACAGTTTAAGAGAACGACTAGAGTGGGACTACATGGGTTTGTAAATCCTGAGTGCACCCCTTACTATGTAGTCACCTTGTAGGGAAAGTTACTTTTTCTGCTTCAGATTTTTTCTTCTAGAAAAACAGAATGAGACACTACATGTTAAAAGGCTTGGTAGAATACAGGGCCATCCAAAATCCTCAGTAACTTAGCTATTCTTATCATGCAGATTCTCTCATTTCTGTAAAACAAACTTATTAAAAGAAAAACGGTCCATCAAACTTTGGAGGTCATAGAGTGCAGCGTAAGATTTGAAACAAATAGTTAACATTAGTTCTAAAACATTTATTCTTGAGAAAATAAGGTGAGTTGAAACCTTATTTTCCACTGGTAAGGGTAATGACTTAAAATTCTGTACTTACTAGCACAGGTCTGGGCAAAGCATAGTGGAATGTGCTGAGACTGACCGCAGATAGCTTTATTTATTTAATACCTAAGGAGGGGGTGGTTCTCATCTACCTATATACTCACTCTACTGTTCTGAAATGTGAAGTTAGGCGTTTTTTTCAGTGAATTACATAAAGGAAGCGTTGTTGTCTTTCTACTGCTTTCTCCAGGCTCTGGAAACTCTCCCTTTCTCACCTTTAGTATCAAGCCCTGCATTTCTCACATTTAACCCTGCTCCTTGGATTCTGGAATAGTTGAAGTTAGGCAGGCTGTCTGGGTCCCACTCGTGGCTCCACAGCTTCCTAGCCCCGTCATCACGGAAAGTTACTTAACCTACCCAGAGCATCAGTTCCTTTCATCTACAAGTTGGACATACTAATCCACTTTAAGGGGATTCCTTTGATTATAAATGAGATAATTCTCATATCATTCTACAGGCACTGATAAAGCAATTAGTAAATGCTTTGAGAACCACAACTGCAACCATTTAAACCCTGTTTATGTGGAGTCGAGGAACCCTTTCACAGTGTAAACGCAGCGGCAGGCGGCCGCGGAATCGAGAGGAGCCTGGAGGAGGGAGGAGGGAGACGGAGGCGGCCCAGACGGCGGGCACAACGCCTCAGCTTGCCATCGGGAGTCGTCACCTTTGCTGAGCTCGGAGGGTTTCACCTCTAGGAGTTCCTCAGCTGTCCAGAAGCTGGCAGACACCTGCTTCACCCGCACTGTTCTAGACAAGGGGAAACTCACTAAATCCCGCGGCACTTCAAAGCTGGAGGTCTGCGTGCTCTGCCGCGTCCTTTACGTCTGACGTAGCGGAAGGGGCGGGGCCGCGGGGGCCGCTGCTGTGCGGAGTAATGCCCCATTTTCCCACGCCCACACCGCGGTATTCGTTTTTCTCCCATATCTCATTGGAGTTTCCCCATCAAAAGTACATCCTGGCAGTAAAAGATGGTTGCAGACCGCAGGATGGAGAGTCAGGCCGTACAGTGCACATTTCCTCACCTCAGCCTTAGACCGATGGTGGAAATTAAAGGCTTGTTAATATGAACGATCTCCCCGAGAGGGAGTAACGTACGCACAGTGGCCAGCTGCGGGTTTTGAGTATGGATCAGTCATATAAGCATTAACCCGCATCCTCCTTATAGGGTTGCGGGATCCGCTCTTCTCGTCAGCGGTTCTCCTCGCCTTTCCCGCCCTTGCGCGGGATTTGCGCCAGCCTCCCCTCGCCCCTTCTCCTTTTCCTCCCCCTTCCCCTCTCCCATCCCCGCTCCCCTCCCTTCTCCTTCGCCTCTCCCACCTCGCCGGGCACCCAGGGGCGCGCGGAACGCTCGGCGCCCAATCTCCACAGCCACCCGCGCCTTCCAGCGAGTCCAGACTGGAGCTTGATGGTTTCTGAGACGGTTAGTTCTCAACGGCCCGCCGAGCTTAAGAAGTACCGGAGAAGGTGAGCAAGTAATGTCCCCATAGTGGGCTGGGTATGGGTCCCCCGGTCCTGATAGCTGGTAGTTGGGCTGCGCAAGAGCTCTTGCTCTGATGCAGACTTAAGAAGAGGCAGCTTCTAAAATAGAGAACGTTGGGGGAACTGAGAGGCGGTTTGGAAGGTGGTTTACAATGTCTTTCCTCGCCTAAGTGAATGTGGATTTCTTTTGTGGAATAACTCATTCCCTACTTTTGGCGACCATTCTTACCCTTGATTTTCTTCCTAGCGTAAAGGAATTCCCTGAATATTGCAAACCAGAGCCCTTTAAGTACGTAAGATCTAAGGAAGGAAACACGTTGAGCACTGTAGCAAATGCCACACATTTCAAATGCTCACAACCGTGCCATAAGGAATAAATAAGGACATAGAAGCTCAGAGCACAGGTTTCTTGAAGCCCAGCTTAAACCCTTGTACTCTTTTCTACCGCGAACTACCTCCAAATTGAGAGACCCTTTTAGTGTGGCGGGTGGGGAGTTGAATTCTAGAAGTGTTTGTCCCCCATTTGGTAGGTAAAGGAAAATCTGGCAGGACTGGTCAAAATGTGGTTTATCTGCCGCTCAGTATACTGCTTTAGCTTCGAGTATAATCCACTCTGGGCACACAGTAGGCATTATCTAAATGTCTGCAGGAAGAGTGAGTTTAGCTTTCTGCTTATAAAACAGGCAGGGGCAGAAGAAGAGACGGTGTTAACATATTCAGGAATAGCTCCTCAATTAGTTTGGTCAAACTCAGTGGAATCCGTGGTGTTTAGAATTTTGTTTCATTGGCAGTGGAGAGTTAAAGTAGTTAATTCTGTTTGTAGCTATATAATTATGTGTTACTCATAACTTAACTCCCACCCATTGAGTTGCCGATAATTATGGTGTTCATCATTGTTCTTAAGATTTCTTTAATGCAGTTTGCTCTATAGTTAGGCTTTCAAACTGGGATCCAGGTTTAGGAAACCAGGCTCCAGGAGCTCAACAAAGCTGTGGGATTTTTATGGAAGGTGCACCTTCCTATAGTGACAAGCTCTTGAAAATGTTTTTTTTTTAGAGAGAAGAATTGAATGACTTAATTAGTAAGCCATTTAAAAATGTTTTCCATTAAATAAGCATTAATTTATTGTAGTGTGTGGGACCCTGCCTCCATTTTGTGTCCGCCATCTTGAATAGCTGTGTCCCCTACATGACCCCTGCCTCCATTTTGTGTCTTCCATTCTGAATAACTATGTCCCTCCATTTTGTTTTGTGTCCCCCATTTTGAGTTTCCCGCTCAAGCCACGCCGGTTCCCGTGGAAACCTTGCCCAGCAACCCTCCTCAGCCAATCAGCTATGGTCACAATAAACCGCCCCCCCCTTGGAAAGCCCCTACCTGTTATTTTGCTACAGTATAAAAGCCAAAAGGGAACTTTGTTCAGGGTTTCAGACCGAGTCCTGTGTTTTGACGGGCCACTGAGACCCTAGTTTGAACTAGCAATAAAGACCTGTTTTGCTTTTCCATCTTGCGACTAAGGCGGCTCCACACGGGGACTCAAGGAAACGGGGCACAACAAGAGGAAATTGCAAACAATAAAAATTTTCAGATATATTTAAGACTTTGAAGAAAGATCTAGTTGAGACTGGATACTTCAATAGTGTCCCAAAGCCTCCTTGGAATATGTTTTTATTTTCCTTTACAATTTGAGGTTACTTGAAAAGGTTTGAGAAGTACTGTGGGCAAATAAGCATGAGCTTTGGAGTCATACAAATTTGGTTCTGTGTCACATCTCTGGAAAGTACCAACTGTGAGACTTTCAGCAAGTTTCTCAGTGTCCTCACCTGCAAGTAAAAGGTAGTAATGGTCGAAGTGGGACACACTCCACCTTCATGATACGTAGTCTTGCATTGCATAGTGATCCATGTTTCTGCTCCTAGCCTGCTTTTTTTTCCCTTTCCTGTCTAAGTTAAAGCTTACCAAGCCTTGTTTATCATCTTTTTTTGCTGAAATAGCATTCCAGCTCTCTCTGCCCTGCTTAAGCATATTGATTAATGTATGTCCACTTACAGTTGCTCCTAGTTCAATAATTTGGAGTCTAAATATCCCTTATTAAGCCCTACTTTTTGGCATGGGTTGAAGGGATAAAGAGGGTTTGGGATGAATTAGGGAGTATACAGTTGATGTCTTTCTGTTAAATTTGGAAAACGTCTATTTATAGTTGGATTTACAAAGAAAATTGAAGGAAACATAATGGTAGTTTAAATGTGTCATTTACCCAAACCTCTGTTTGAAATTGTTTGGTCTTTTAACACTCAAGCCTTAGTAGATTAGGTAGAATATTTGAAAATTTGGTCGCTACACAGAGTAGATATTCTAAATGTTGATTTACTGTTTACTAGAGAAGGAATGGGAAAACTTGAAATGAGAGAAATGTCAAAGTAATGACAGCTAGGCAGATAGGACCTTTTGGGGTATGTGTGTGGGCACTTTTAGGGTACCTCATAGTCCTGTTTTCATTTTCAGCATCGCAGGTTCAGAAATCTGAACTTTTCCAGTATCATTGGAGGACTCGTGTCCTCAGTGTTGTTCCCTAATCAAACTCACAAGAAGAACCAGGACTCGGATCCAAAGCATGCATGTCTGCTCTTCAGGGCTCCTTTCTAGGAAGGCTTCATCCCTGGGAAAGCACATCATTTGGTGACAGGCAGGTCCCAGCATTTGGGAGACAGGTAGCTGTACGGAGAGTGTTTTCATCTCCTGGAGTTCTCTGACCCTCAGGAGTACTCACCTCTGCTCAGCAGAACATTCTTCCTGTAGAATGAGTTTAAAGAAGACAAATTTCTTCACTTTGGCTCTGTCTTTACCTTCATCTTTTGTTTTTGTTTTTTTTTTCACCAGATATTTGTTTAAATTTCAGTCCCGAGGACATACCTTTGTCTGAGATTGAGCATCGTCTTGTTTCTTTTCTGTTTTGGGAGTCCATCAGATACTCAGCAAGGTCACAGGCATTCCTTTGCGTAGGAGACTGATGATGGTACAGGCTTTTCTTTTTTCAGGCTGCTTATCTCACTTACTTTGTTTTTATCTGTTTAACTTTCTAAAGGAATCATCACAAGAAATTTGGACATTTTACTGAGAACTCTCAGTCTACAACATTCAAGCAGCTTTCATTAGCTGGAGGAATCTGGACCTGAGATAGGTAAATTAATTTTTCATTTCTTTTTGATAATTTTGTTTATTAGAATTTTTTTATTATATAAATATATTTAAATAAATATTTTACTTATTATTTTGAATAGGCAATGCAAGGTATATAATAAGTATAAAATTCAGAAGTTGTAGAAACAGGTAAAAAGTACCTGTTTTCACCTTTGGTCACAGACAATTTCTTCTGTGTGGTCAATTACAGTTAAACAGTTTCTTTAGGGCTTTCCAGAGATATTCTATATAAGCATAAGTGTCTATGTGTAATTTTTTAACACAAATTATAGCATCTATATACTTATCTATATACTTACTATTTTGAATATTTTTCATTTAACAGTGTTAGCTTGGATGTGATTTGTAAAATATGAGTACATATAGCGCTCCCCTCTTTTTAAAATGTAATTATATTGTATGCATGTTTTATAATTTATCTCATTAGTGCAATAAAATTGAAAGTCATTTAGATTGATTGTATCCCCATATAGTGATCTATTTATGCACCATTACCATAATGTTTTAATTGTTGTAGCTTTATAATATGTTTTCAGAACTTTCTGGACTATTCATGTTTATTTTTCCTTATTATATTTAACTTTGGAATCAGCATGTCAAGTTCCAAAAACCTATTGATAGCTTAATTGGCAATGTGTTTAGTTTACGGACTAATTTATATCTTTAAGATGTGTGCTTTCCTTCCCAAAAATATGGTATGCCTTTCCATTTAAGTCTTCTTTTAAGTTCTTAGAAAAGTCATTAAAAAAATATCTTTACATGGATCTTGCTCATTTCTTAAATTTATTACTTTGCATTTTATTTTAAAAATAAATTTCTGATTTTGCTTTGGGACGTTTGGGACATTCTCAGACTTTTAGATAAGTTGAATTGATAGTACAAAGAACTTTTATTTTCTTGAAAAATTCGCCTTCATGCCCCATCACATCTTAATCTTTAGGTGTATATTTCCTAAAAAGACTGTTTCCTACATAACTACACTATATCCATCAAAATCAAGAAGTTAACATTGATAATATTACTGTCATCTCTTTAGACCCTTTACATTTTACCTTTTGTTACAATAATATTCTTTGTAACAGGAATATCTAGTCTAGAATGATATTTGAATGATACCTTGTGTTTCTTGTTTTCCTCTTCTAAGCATTCTTTAGTCTCAAAGAGTCCCTATTTTTCTCTTGATTTTCATAATATTGACTGACACGAAGATTAACAGACCAGTTACAGATTCTCACAAATTTTTCTTTGTCTGATGTTTCTTCATGGTTAGATTCTTTTATCATCTTTGGCAGTAATATCACAAAGGCAATGCTGTAACCTTTTCATTATCTTACACTATTTCATTTTGTTCTATTATTGGTCATGTTCACTTTGATTACTTGATTAAGGCAGAGTCTTCTATGTTTCTCTGCTCTAAATAAAGGTATTGAAGTACTCTTTGTTTCTAATGTTATGTAAACATTTTGTTCTTTATCAAACTTGCAAGTTATTTATTTTTATCAATTTGGATTTATGGTTTCTTATTTTATTCAGTGAGTTATAGTCTGTTATTATTACTTACATTGATGCTCAAATTATCATAGTTTTGGCCTCTGGGAGCCCTTCATGCTGGATTCTGTGCCCTTTTGACATCTCCTGTAATTCTTTGTTACTCTGTTCCTTTCAGGCACAGTGAGATATCTAGGCTCATCTTGAACTTTCCCTACCCCAAATATTTAGAAGCCGAGATCTAGGTGCTTATTGATATTAGGATGTTGCTCCTATGCCCTCTCAGTGAACAGAGCTAGAGAGTATGTATATGTTCAGATGTACATTTATATATGTGTGTTTATATACTTTTCTGTGAACACATACTTACACATATGTACACAAAGAATTATATAACATACACCAATGTTGAACCATTCTTGCATTCCTGGAATAACCTTTTCATCATTGCTTATTATTTTAAAGTCCTTTTAGATTTTACTTGCTCATTTTTAAAGGAATTTTCATCAGTAGTTTGAAATTTTTCTTCAGTTTTCTTAGGCCATTTGTCAAGTTTTATTACCCATTTTAGGCTTGCTTCTTAACAGATTTTAAAGCTTGCTATATTTTTCTTTCTCATGCTCAGGAACAGCTTAATAACGTTGGATAATGTTTCTTAAAAATTGAGCATAATTCTGTGAAGCCATCTGGTCTTGGTGCTGCAGAATTCTTAATTTACTGGGTTTGTGGTTTGTTTTTTTTGTGGTAGCTGGAGAACCTAGCAGAGAGGTCAGTTATATTTGGGGCCTGGGTCTGGAGATAGTAAACGTGCAATCAGTTCATTGTACCTACTTGCTGTCTGACTTTAGGAAAGTGATTTCCATTTCTGAGTCTTAGTTTCATCATCTCTCAAATGGAAATAATCACTGCTGGTTAATTTTACAGAAAACTTTTAACAATGAAAGTGAAGTATGTTAAAGCCCAGTAAAGAACCAAGCAAATGCAAGGCCTTTTTTTTTTAAGGTTCATTTTAATAAGATGTTGGTATTCAAAGAGTTGTCAATGAAGATAGCTCTCAGTATTGCATTGTTGAAGGAGTTTGTGCATATGGACCGTGCCTCCCCCTAAAATTCCAGGCAAACGGAAATATTTGTTTTGCTATTAACAATAAAGAAAAATAATGAATCAAAATATGGCCTAGATAATTTATTTTCATGAACATTAGTGAGGCTTTGGTCTTGTATTTATGAAAACTTATTTTATTATCAATGAGAATTGGGGAACATTATGTATGATTTTCCTTTGTGCTTATATTGTGATTGTATTTGTTATAATTTGCTTAAATATTTGAGATTTTGAGGAAAATTAAATTCATCTAGTAGACATTAAAAATACTTTTATATCTGTTTGCATGTCAAGGATGCCGTGTATTGATACAAAGATTAAGAGATTAAATGATCAACAAACACCTGTGCAAGGCACTGTGTCAGACATTGCATATGAGATGGGCATACAGCAAGCTTGGTCTTTTGGAGAGGTAGTTAGCAAAAAACATCAAGTTGTCACGATTCTTCAGTATTATTCCTTGCATTCAGTTAATAGTAAAACAAGCAAGGACTATCAAATTTTTGTCTGATGTTTTCCAATATAGCTAATAAGGCTTATACAAATATGAATATTTAAGAATAATTTCAAAGTTTGCATCTAAATTGCACTTAAATTTACTTTCCGAATATTTCAAATTTGAGGTATTTTTTGTTTGAAACTGCAAATGAATAATTTACATGGCCTCCTGTGAGTTCTGATAGGATTAAATAATTCGGGTAATCTCAGATATGAAAGGAACTCAGGCACCATGTGGCCTGACTCCTGGGGCTGGCGGCTGTTGCAGTCTGAATCAGTGAGGGGTCACCAGCTGGCCAGCCTGCCTGCTGCAGGTGCTGGGATGCCCGGTAGGCTACATGGGGTGGTGGTAGCCAAGAAACTCCAGCAGGGGTCTTGGGTACAGAGCATCGGGAGCTGGTAGACTCAGGTAGCTCTTACCCGACCCAGGGTGCCAGGAAGCATTTCCTTCTTCCCAGGTCTCCGGAGGGAAACAATGCAAACCGAGCAAGCATTTAAATGGAACTCCTAATATGTGAAATACATTTTAGAAACTGTTGGAACTGAATTCTTTGGCTGCTTTGTGTATTCTTTCAGCTCTGCTGCATAATAATAGGGTTTAAGAAAGCGAATCAGGTTTGTAAATTAATAGTGATAGGAGAACAATCCTTTTTTTTTTATTCAAGCAAAAATATTTGCTGGCATTGCGTAGTTTTTAGGGCCCAGATTTTTGTGTAATTTTGCATTTTTTCTAAAAATTAGAATTAACTGAAGTTTAAAAAAGAACCCTCAAATTTATTGAAAACTTGAAACTTTCTCTTATTCCTTTGTGTAAAGGTCACAAATCTCTAATCTGATGCAATGTTAAGTTTGCATGTTTCAAATTATTTTTACATTCTTTATAACTTTTAAAGCATTTTTGTTCCATGCTTGGATGTTTTCTTGGTAATGTGGATTAGGGATTACTTTTGGCTGCAAATTAAAAATAGTGGGTTTGGAAGAAGAGTCCAGCAATAAAGAAAATATTGGTTATTTTAAATTAGTATTTTCTATTCCTAAAAAAGAAACTGAATGCAAGTGATCACTCTGTCCTGTGATCGTTATTTATCAAGAACTTTTCTATTACATGTAGTATCCATATTACTTTAGAATTTATTTTTTACTTTCTTCCAAAAAAGGATTTAGCACTGTCTGCATTCATACTTTTTTCTTTTCTTTGTCTTCTTTGTACCTTAGACAACTTGAATCATAAATCTGACATCACATTTTCTTATATTGCAAATGAGAAATTGCTTTTATTAAACACTACACATTACATTCTAGATAAACAGGTTTCTTATTAGGAATTACTAGTGTTTGTAAACTTTTTCTACTTGCCATTAATGATGGCATTTATATCAAGATTTCCTCCCAGATCAAAGGGTATTTGTAGGATGCCTAGCTCATATAGCTAAAAAACATTTTTATCCCAACGTGCAAATGATTTTCTACACAAATTACCTTTTAATGCTGAAATCATTGTTGATGTTACAGGTAGTCATTATTTAAAAGTTATTTTACACACTTGAGATTATTTAATCTATATATTTGTAGGTATCTATGGTTGTGTTATTGAATGTGTAGTATAGTAAGACCAAAGGGAGGAGACTTAAGCAAATAATTTCCTTTTTAAGTGCTTAAATACAAATATATAACCCAACCATGGACTTTTCAATTAAAATAATGTCACAAAATACAATTAAAAAACAGTCTAAAGCCCTCTGTTGGGGTGGTTATTGGGCATACAGGCCTGTTTTGTTTTCAGTACTTTCAATATACAAAAATATGGAATTGCCAAAATTAGAAACTAAGAATAACTTGTATTACAGAAGGATTTTTTATGTGAAAGAATACTTTCAGCATAGAAATTAA